TTATGCAACAAGTATTTAAAAGGTATGCTTGAAAAATCTAATGTGAAACACAAATTATCCACACCTTACCATCCTCAAACTTACGGACAAGTAGAAGTATCTAAAAGGCAGCTGAAACAACTCCTTGAAAAGACAGTTTCTACAACCATAAAAAATTAGTCGAAAAAATTAGACAACGCTCTTTGGGCGTATAGAATAAATTTCAGAACTCACTTAGGATCTTCCCCATATTTATTTGTTTATAAGAAAGTTTGTCACTTATCGGTTGAGCTGGAACATAAAGCTTATTGGGCAATACAATTCTTGAACTTTGATGAAAAAGCAGCGGGAAGGAAAAGGTTTTTTAAAACTGGATGAGTTAGAAGATATGAGACTTTAAGATTATGAAAACACTGTGATTTGCAAGGAGAGAACTAAGAGGCATCATGACAAGAACTTGGTGAAAAAAGATTTTTAACCAGGACAGAAAGGTCTACTTTACACTTCTCGACTGAGGTTATTTCTAGGTAAGTTGAAATCAAAATGGTCTGGTCCTTTTATTATTACTGAGGTATTTTTAGTGGTGTTGTAGAGATACAAGATCCTAGAGATTCACATATGTTTATGGTGGAACCATATGCTATAGAGGAGATACCAGTATCAAAGGTGTCTCTAATACTCATAGAACCTTAAAAGAGCAACAATCAAGCTAATGGTTAAAGAAGCGTTTAATGGGAGACAACACATCATTAAAAAGTTTCATTTTATTTAGTATTTGTTTAGAATTTATTTGAAATTCATGTAATTGGTAAGTTTGATTTTTTTGTTTGTTTTGTATAGTGGGATGAAAAATATATGAGGGGCTTAGGAAAATTTGAAGGGATAAAGTAATTGTAAGCCGAAATTCAGAAGAAAAAAAGAGAGAAAAGCTGCTAGGAAATTCATGTACAAGAATTGTTCCATCATTTGCACTACAAGTTGCATCGTGTGCACTGTAGATCCATCATGTGCACTATCATAACCTTCGTGTACATGATGGTTGGATTTTTTTATTGTTGATGAGAGAGATGCTACATTTGTGAATGTTAGGATAGAGACATTACATCGTGTGCACGATGAGAGCGTATTCGGGGCATATAAAAGAAGTTGCAAACTATTTTGTTAGTATAACATTCAATTTCTACTAAATTCCTTTTACCGAATTGAGCAATTTACACTAATGATTTCATCTTCAAGTTATATTTTCACTTTCTTTTTGTCGTGTTTTAACTTTGTTGTTGGATAATAACACTAAAGTGAAGCCGAATTTCTACAACAACTACTTCATCTGCACCACAAGCACATACTATTGTCAAACATCCAACATACAAGTTGCACTGTGTTGCATGTAAGGAAAAATATTTGAAATTGAGGAATTACAAAGTGGTCCCTAAAAGAGCACTTAACTTGGATAGTGAATAGGTACCCATAAATTCTTGAGAACTTGGAAATGAGGAATTTATAAATCTGAATTTTATGATCAAGGAGAACAATGATGATATTGGCTAAGAGTTTTATGCCAATGCAACACATCATGGGGCGACCTATTATACTTCATATGTTAGAGTTTTTTCACAGCCTCACGAATGACAAGAAAAGCAAGACATGCAAAAAAGAAAAAGCAAAGATAAAGAAAGTAGAGTATAGATTGAAGATTCAGATACAAATTGAAAGATTAAGAAGAAGAGAATATCCAACTGACATGAGCTCAATTTCCAGATACCTCAGCTAGTAAGTTTTGAGTAAAAAAAATTCAATGTTTACTTTTCCTTCTTATGAGAGTATCCATACAATTGTTATTTTATAGAATTTGTTTTATTTCTGATTTAGTATATTTGTCTGGCACCTGTTTATGGAAACTCTTAGCCTTTTCCAGCCAACCTATATGAAATGTTTATATTCGTTATTTAAACCCTTTGAGCATGAGCCATTTTATTCGGTGACATAGTCTAATATGTAGCTAATTGACTTGAAGATTAAATCTTTCCATCCTCTTTAGATTTATGTAGAAAGCTTAGTTTCCTTAGTCGATGCAAAAAATAAGTTTGAGATGACTCTTAGAAATTATCTACGTTTGAGTTTGGGTTGGGGTACTAGAGAAAAATGATCAACATAAAAAGAAAAAAAAATAGAATATAGAAAATAAAGAAGTTAAAATGATTTCTTCAAAAAAAATTAAAAATGAACGAAAAAGACCAACAAATTTTATTCTCTAGTACTAATTGACCAGGTAAAGAATGTTATGAAAAGAACATGGTAACATAAGGAAAACTAGGAACCTAATGATAAAGGTTTAAACATATTATCCCAAAATATCATACCTTGACATAAGCCTTATCACAACCTTGAAAGACCTCAATAGCTTGTATTTAATATGGGTATGATTGACTTTGTTAGAAATTTTACAAATTTATGGTGAAATACTTTTGTATATTTATTATGTGATCACCCTGTTCAATTCGAGTGAAAAGGTGATATGAGTGACATGTTAAGTACAAAGGAATGTTGGAGAAAATTATTTGGATTAATCTGAATTGAAATAAGGAATGGAAGTCCTAATTCTGCTATAAATGGTGTATGTCGTTGGTTTGACAAGTGCAAGGTTCATAAGAGGATCACATGCAAAAGGAAAAAAAGAAAAATCTTTATTGAAAAAATCGTGTGCACCATGCATGACATCATGTACACGACAAGGAGAAGAAGGTACATAGTGTGCATGATAAGAAGCATTTTGTACATGCACGATGGTGATTTGACTGGTCCATAGTGTGCATGATGGAACCAGACTGTGCACGATAAAAAGGATTTCTGACACACTTTAGCCGTTTAAAAGTACATAAAGTACACTTTTGCAGGGGTTACTAGTTTGGGATACATAAGTGATGGTAAAGCATTATTAGAGCTCAATAATTAAAGTTTTTAGCCATTTAAGACCTCATTATTCATTGATTCTCATGTATTATTTTTCTAAACTCGTGGTATATACTTGTATTACTATGAGTAGATAGATTTCTCTTGATTAGGTCTTAGGAGATGAACTTAACTTTACTTTGTTGGATCATATGACTTTGATGTTATTTGCTTGATTTCATTATATATTTTCTATTCAGTTGCTTTTGTGCTTATTTCTCATCTGAAATTTTATTCATGTTTTTTTATTAGCAATTTCAACATACTCTCAAATAAACCCCCTGACTTTGCTTTTCAAATAGCACGGATTTAACGCAATCCTTGTGGAGATGATCTTATATTTTATTACTTCAACTTGATTAGTTCACTTGCTAAAAAAGTCATCAGATGTAGAACATGAACTGGAAGACCTACCCTTATCAAGGGAGGAAACAACATAAATTACATATTTAACAGATAAGATATCACACAAGAGATCATAAACACCTAAGATTAGTTTCCATCTCCATTTGACGAAAGAGCAAGTGAACTAAATAGGAGTTTTGGACACCCAGATAACCTTTCTGCTTAGGCTTGCAAATACTTGACGATTTAGCCCAAGAAATCTTAGACTCATTTTCACCCCATTCCCTTACACGCACAAAGGAACCTTCTTTAAATCTTTACTAACTTTTTCCAAATCTTAACATGTATTTTTAGGAAAAAGATAAGAAAAAAAAATGAATAACATTAAGAGGCAAATTAAGTAAGATCAACTCCCTACTTCCACGATAATAACTTCTAATATAAAAGATTAACAAGCAAATTTCCCGTAGCCTTAAGGCGAGATTGACTCCCACATGCAAACCAAGGTACATGCTGAAAACTAAGTTAGCCAAACAGGATGCCGAATACCCAAATCACTTTTCAGCTTAGACTAGCTTGCAGACATTTGACCACTTAACCCTAGAAATCTCAGAGTCAATCTTCACACCAACTTAAAGGACTTTTTTAATTTTAATTTTAACTAATTTCTTCAAGATCGTAAAAGATATTTTTTTAAAAAATAATAAAAAAATAATAAAATTAACATAAAAAACTAAATTAAATAAAATGAGCTGCTTCCAAACTCATATACATAAGCATCCACAAGAGTAATCCGTTAAATAAAATAATCATTAAATAAATGATTAAACAAAATTGAAAGCCCCACACACTTTAAATCTTTAATAACTTTTTTTCAAATCTTAAAGTCAACCTTTACACCATCTTAAAAGAGCTTTTTTTTTTAGTCTTAACTAACTTCAAGATTATAACTGACATTTTAAAAAGAGACATACAATGATAAAATTAACATTAAGAACCAAGTTAAATAAGATGAACCGCCTCCAAACTCATATACATAAGCTTCCACAAGAGAGTAATGTGTTAAACACACTAATCACTAAATAAAAGATTAACCAAAATTGAAAGCCACTAAAAAAGGAAACATTTTTTCCTACCAATAGGAATCAGATTCAATCCACTTACTTAGCTATCACTATTTTTTTTTCTTCATATTCTATTTAAAGAAAAGTCCACAAATGTAATAATTAATTAAGAAGAGTGAGAAGAAGGGTTTTGTTTATTTGATTTTGATTTTGATTTGTCTTAATCTTAACTTTCCAATTAAGATAAGAAAGATCATAATAATTAGAAGTTGGACTAAAACATACGCCATATATATATGAATAATTATTGCATACATGATTCTCTTGTCACAGTTAACAGATTTTTGTTCATAGTCTTCACCAGGTCTTCTTGTACTATTCAAACCTATAAAAAACGTAGGCTTTTAAGTCCACCACCTTTCACTTTTACCCTAGCTAGTTCACGACAAATAAATGTGAAGACCATACCATATACACCACTTGTGGTCCTAATACATTCTCTCACACTATTCACTGTTGTGATGTTTTACTATTTCTATATATAAGAATTATTATATGCTCTCTTGTTCTCTTCCTCATACATGAATAGTACTACGTTTGAGTTTTCTTCATATTTTTAACCTTTGTTTTAGATCTCTCTGGCTTTTTTTTCTTCTTGAAGCCATGGAGACAAGAAGGTCAGAGGGAAAAAGAACTTGGAGGCAGAAAGAAGTGGTGAACAATCATGAAGAGATGGAACATGAAGATGAAGATGAAATGGAATTTGAAGAGGAGGAGGAAGGTAGAAAGAAGAGGGTAGTAACAGATCTGTATAGTAAACCAAGGTCCAAAGCTGGAGGGTCCAATGTTCCACCTTGTTGTCAAGTGGAGAATTGTGATGCTGATCTGAGTGAAGCTAAACAGTATCATCGGAGACATAAGGTATGTGAGTATCATGCTAAGGCACCAGCCGTACACGTTGCAGAGATGCAGCAAAGGTTTTGTCAGCAATGTAGCAGGTTCACAAACCCTAATCTCTTTTAACTAATTCTTGAGTTTTCTGAATTTTATTATATTTTTTACTTTTCAATTGGATCAATCATTGTTGGTGCTATATCAAATCTTCTTTTTCTATTTTTGACAAGTTCAAATCTTTATTATGTGGTACTTGTTTTTTGGGCTGTCTATAATGAAGATTTTGATGTAACAGGTGTTATAGACCTAGTACACTTATAATCTATTTTAAAAAAGATTTTTTGCTTAATAAAAGAAGATTCAACTTGTTAAAAGAAATACTTAACAATTCTCAAGTGGAAAATTTTGGGTATAGAGACTTCTCAACACTAATTATGTTATATACCCAAATTAGAATGAAGTTTCATTTATTTTCTATTTCTAATTTTAGTTACTTATTCTATTTCTAGTCATGTATAGTGTAATTTAAACATAGCGTTATTATAAACCATACTATAGCATTCTTCACTAAGGTAATTTACCAAGATATATATGAGTGGATCATATTAAAGAGCTTGATTTGAAAAGTTTGCAAATCTGTCGAGGCTTTTGAAAAATAAGGATACTATCGTTTACCAAACTTCATGCTCAAGTGGTTGAAATAAAGATATGCTTAAAGTGATTGAAAGAAGGATATGCGATTACATGATACTTTCATGCATGTGTCTAGTCAAGAATGTCATTAAAGCTTTCTGATGACAAGTGGTTGGGTTGAAGATTCAACTCAAATGAATGGGAAAGGCGGGTTCTTTATTCAAAAACCACTTCTCTAATGGTAACTAAGAGTTTCCTACTCTTAATAGACAGATCTTCTTGATAAGGTTTTAAGTGGACAATGAAGCCCACGTAGCCTCCTTTCTCTTGTCAAAGAATGAGAGGTAGTGAAAGATTGTGATGTTAAAAAATTCTAGGTTCAGACAAGTTTTATTTTTGCTTTAATCAAGGAATTATATAAGGTCTTATGAAAGGTAATATAAATCGGTTTTTCTTAAGGGGCGGAAATTGGTGGATAGAGTGGGCGTCTTTAACAAAGTTTTAAACTACGCTAAGATGTTTAAATGAGAGTGTTTGGTGTTTAAAATGGACTTTGAGAAAGCCTGCGACTATTTCTTTTTTGGATTATATGTTGCAGAGATTTGGTTTTGATGATAAATAAAGTGTTCGGGTTCGTGCTTGTGTCTTTTCCGTCCGATAGTCTCTCATTATTGGTGAATGGTTCTCAACTGAGGAAATTAGTATTTAAAAGGATATGAAGAAAGGAGACCCTTTAGCCATATTTCTTTTTCTTTTGGTGGTTGAGAGAATTAACACATCCTTAAAAAAGGCAGTTTCGGTTAGGGAGTTTGAAGGTTTCAAGATAGATCGAAACAAGTTTGAGATGTATCATCTTCAATATGCAAACAATATTGTGTCGGTTGGGGTCCCGTCTATTGAAAACCTCTTGACTTTGAAGTCGATTCTCAAAGGCTTTGAGCATGCTTCGGGCCTCAAAGTGAATTTAGGTAAGAGTAGTCTGTTTGAGGTTAATGTGAGTAGGATTTTCCTAGAGCTAGGTGAAGGTTTTCTTCACTATAAGGTGAGTTCTCTTATATGTATTTAGGATTTCTTGTAGTTGCTAACACGAAGACTTTCTTCACTATAAGGTGAGTTCTCTTTCTTATATGTATTTAGGATTTCTTGTGGTTGCTAACAAGGAGAGATTTTGGTTCCTCTTCTTAATCTAGTATCTAAGATATTACCCTCTTTGAGGAACAATTTTGTGAATCTTGGAGGTAGGATGGTCCTTATGAATTTGGAGTTGAACTCTATCCATGTGTTCTTTTTGTCTTTCATAAAGATATTGATTTCGGTTTGGAGCAAGTTGGTGGATTTGCAAAAATGTTTTCTCTTGAGGAATCGAAAGGAGAAGCGAAGGTTGTGTGGGTTAATTGGAAGGGACGTGTGTAAGGCTAAAAGGGTTGGAGGTTTTTTGGGGGTGAAATATCTTAGATTATTTAATTTAGTTTTGTTAAGTAATTTTCGGTGGAGGGTTCTTTTGGTTTTGTCATCGCTTTGGATTGATATTATCAAGGCTAGGTATGGCTCACATGGTTTTGACTCCCCTTTGGAGGTAGGATAGGAAATCTCTTAAGAGGGCATCTCATACGTAGAAAGATGTCTTTCTCCTTGTATGAGTTTAGAGTTTTAGGTGGAAACGATCTTTTCTTATTTGGAAGGAGGTGTTATTTGAGGCTCAAATGTAATTAAGAAGATGTTTTTTTCTTATTTGGAAGGAGGTGTTATTTGAGGCTCAAATGTAATTAAGAAGATGTTTGGGTGTAGAAATCAAATCTGGTTAGAGATGTATTGACATAAATTTAAGTCTCACATTATCTTAAAATATTTTTTAATAAAAATAATTTATATAGAATAATACTTCTTATTTATAAAGTCAATTTTATAAAGATGAATTAAATTAAAATTTAATTTTAATAATTTTGTTTGGAGTAACCGGTGAAAATATTAAATTGTTGGAATACTAATAAGTGTTTAGGGTAGCTGGCTAAGAACCCATGGCTATTATACTAGTATTATACTAATAATGTTTAGGTTCTATACACCCGTTTGAGTAATTAATTAATGGTTATTGCGGCAAATTATGGGGGAAGTTGTAGGTATAGTGAGGAGATTTATTTATTTATTTTTATTTCCTCTAGTATAATACTAGTATAATATTCTATTATCATTATGGTTTCTATTTTGGGTTCAAATTATTGAATTGGCGTATCCCTTGTTGTTAGACTTAAGTTGTGTCAAGTGGTGTTTGTTTCTTGGTAGAAATCTATAGTATTTTGCCTCTAAAATTTTGTTTATTTCTCATACAACTTATGCTCTATCATCAATATATTTTTCCATTCATTTCTTGGGCAACTTATGCTTGTAATGATATTATCAATATATTTAAAAAAAAAAAATTGGGTTCAAATCCTATAAGCTTCACAACACTGTAGTTAATTTAAGGTTTGGTGGAGATAAAAGAAAACATTGGTTCAATTCCCCAAATAACATTATTTTAGAAGTTGATATAGATTGGTGTGACATGCTTATTAGTACAAAAAGAAAATGATTGTTATAAAATTTTAATCAAGATTAATTTTCAGTCAACATAATTGTTTTCTATTATCGATAAATCTAAAACACTTTGAGCATGTAAATTAACTATGTAAATCAAACTTGAATCTACTAAATATTTTGTTTTTCAGATTCCATGAGCTATCTGAATTTGATGACACAAAAAGGAGTTGTAGAAGGCGTCTGGCGGGGCATAATGAGAGACGTCGCAAAAATACAAGTGAATATCAAGGAGAATGATTTCATTGTTAGATGGACATTAATAAGGAACTGAGACACAAACATATGATTCAAATAAGAATCCCATTCAAACAACATGTATTGATGCTCTCTAAGGATAGATATGCTCTCTATCTTCTGTCAATCTTTTCTCTATGTGTATGTGAAAACTACTTTTGTTGCTACTTACATCTATATCATGTGATATTTTCACTTTGAATACTCATTAAATTCGTGCTTAAACACATGATTCATGAAAGTGGTTGCTTATTTTGCTTAACGATTAAAAATCTCACGTTTGATAAAATATTACTTTCTATACTCTATGAATAAGTCGAAATAACTTTAAATCTTTATCCAACATAAGATGTGCATAAAAAAGTAAAACATCGAACATAACTATAGATTTAGTGGGAATAAATAGACTGTTTCCACACATTGATGTTAATAATAAATAGACTGTCTCCACACATTGATGTTAATAATAATTGTTAGAAAATTTGATGTCAATTCTTGTCTATTTTTTAATTTTTGATTTAAATTGTTTTTTCATTTTTTTTTATTATGTTTCTTTGATGATTAAGATAATTTTTTTAGTGGAATCATCATAAAGAATAGAATGAAATTACCTTAATCATTAAAGAAACATAAAGAATAAAAGAGAAAGGAAAAAACAATTTGGATCAAAAACTTAAAAATGAACCAGATTCGATATTATGGATCTATGTACGTTTTTCATATTTTTTATAAAATTAAAGCACCATAAAAATTATAATATCAAAATTATAAATATAAAATTTTCTAACGGTTAGATATCAGACCTTGGTTGTTGATATTGTGATTTTTTGATATTATGTGTTAGAGTACAGTACCTTAAAATTAAATTAAAATACTGCATATGTGTTTTGGAGATGATTTACATGATTAGTTTAGCATTCAGTTACTGTATTACATGACATTATAATATTTACTTCATGCAAATTAATTTGGTAAAATAAACCATAGATGCAAAATTTTAAAATCTAAATTTCTTTAAATAATAACAAATAGCGGGAATAAATAGATTGTTTCCCCACATCGATGTTAACAATAATTAGATAAAATTTCATTCTAACTTCCCAATTGTCGTACCAATAACCATTGAAAATGAGGTTTATTTATGGAACATTTCAATTTAAAATAATTTTTTAAAATCATCATTCCTCTTGAGAAGATTAGTTTTTATCCAACAATTAGATTGTGATGCTACTTGTTGATTATGAAACTTCAAATATAAAAAGGGGTAAATTATTCGGCCAAAAAGATAAATAAAAATCTCAAAATTATATATATATATATATATATATATATATATATATATATATATATATATATATATATATATATATATATATATATATATATATATATATATATATATATATGAGTAAATAATGACAGTCATTAAAGTCCAAAGTACAAAACAAAAGAACTAAAATAAAAGGCATAATAGATATCTAACCCAACCCCAAAAATATACAACAAAAATCAAATAAAAAAACTTCATCCTCCAATAGATATAAGAAGATAAAACCAACAACAAAGCAAAATAATAAGCTCTAAAAGTGGGACAAAAGATAGAGTTCTCCAAGTCAAGACCAACAAAAACAACATCAATCTCTGAAGAACACAACAAAAATACACCAATGAGAGATCGAAGACACTCCTGAAATTATTTGCTCAGATATGAAATATGATTCTCCAGAATCCATCCAAGCCAATAAAGCACAAGGTTTGTACACAAAACTACCAATATACATTTTTAAGTCTAGAGTGTGCTCAAATCTTACACATCCTTCACTGCAACCAATTTACCTGAGAACATTATATCATTCGGAGATTTCTAAAATCAACCAAACCATTTCATGTCAAATTTGTTAGAACAAGATTTGGTTCTTCATCTGGCCTTATGTTTTCATAAAAATAATACATAGTATTTTAGAGAATATATTTGTACTCTAATAATTTTGCTCAGTGTGCATATTTTTTATTCAAGTTCTGACTCTGATTAAATGACGTGTGAAGTCATCAGACTCTAAAACTAGTACACTTTGACTCTAGGTTACATGTTTACAAGTTGATCAAGCTCTAGATTTTGTACGTAACGCTTCTGCATCTACCTATCCAAGCTTTTGATACTTTGAAGCTTCTGAAGCTATTACGCTCAGAAGCCATGCGCTCAACTCAACTCTGAACTTTGTCAGCTGACTCTGAAGACCAGGTTCTGAGGAACTGGATCAAGACTCTGAAGACCAAAGGTTTTGAAGATTCTCTCAACCAAATTCTTATTCTTCTTTTATGCATGCTTTATCATCAACTTAACAAAAGCCGTTGAACATTGAAAATAAGATCAAAAGGTTTTACATGAGAAAAATAGTACACAGTACAAGTTCAAATATTTCTTCCACTAAATTGATTTTGTGGGCTAAGGACTGTACTATTGTACCATTTTGTCTCGCATTTTCATAATTCGTTATGCAAGGACATAGATGAATTTTGGTATTCTAATTTTACCTTCCAACGGATCTCTTTATTGAATATATTTGGAAGAATGGAAAAATGACCTCGTACGACTTCACGTGTAATACTTGAACAAATGTTATCATCTTACGTGAACTGTACTTTTGTGAATATTATTCTTGTGAATATAAAAAAACACACATAAATCTTTTGTTCGTTTTTGGGTGAAAAATTCATTGTACTGAAATTTGTGTGATCTTCTTTCTTAGAAGCAATCTTGTAAACACACATTTGTATCAATATTTTGATTGTATTCTTTGTTCCTTAAGTGACTAGGGTTTAGTCAATAGACTCATGAAGACACTGACAATTGGTATTTGTATTGTAATCAAGTTAGGTTATAGTGGATTAAGTCCTTAGTGATAAGGTAAAATCACCTTGGCCGGTGAAATAAAAATATCTAAAAAAAAGAGTTGGAAGTCTCTAGGTAAAACTGCACAACAACCCACCAACTAAAAATCCTATAACAAACCTTAACTACTATCTCACATGTAACAAAAAGATGAGAGGATGACTCAAGGAATCTTGAATAGAATGGACTAAATACACCTCCCAAGAACACGAAGACTCCCATATTAATTTCCTCTAGTTGAAATCCGATCCTGGAGAAGCTGGAAAGAAAACACAATGACTTTAGATAGGGCCCAATGATAGAGATGTAACAAGTGTACTAAATGATATCGACATAATAAAATAAATTTGTATCAACATGGTTTTTTTTTCATCTTAACAATATGATTAAGATGCCATTGAATGTAAAATTGAGGGGTTTTCAAAGTTTGGTTTGAATGAACAATTGTGGAAATAAAAAATTGTTAGAAAATTAATTAGATTAAATATGATTAGGTCTTGTTTCGAATTCCCTGTGTGATACCTTTGATGTTGAGGTCTATTTGTCCTAGATTTATTTTTTGAAATCACGACGGTTTAACTTTGTTGTTATACTCAAGTCCTTGGTTTATAACTCATTATTTTGCAATACAACTCCCTAGTCTCTTAGGTCAGCTAAATGGTTAAAACATACAATATATGGTGCGCTAAAACCTAAGTCACAATTTATATTTTCTTATCCCTAATCAAATACTAAGTTGAATAATTAATTTAGTTTAGATTCATAGAGGTATGGTCAGTAATCACTACGAGTCTTAGTTCGTCATACAAGTTCTTCAACACATATAAAGTAATGAACACAAAATTAAATGAGTAATCAATACTGAAAAATCAAATAAGTAGATAGTATAAAACATAGACATATGTCTCAAGATGTTCATACAAGTTCATCTAGCAAGCCCTAATCGAAGGAAGTTAGCTACTCATCATAGAATTAATCATAGTTATGAGTTTAGAGTAATAATAGATGAAACTAAATATAGAATTTTGTCTTTAATGGAGAAAAACCTTCATTCCTAGGCCTCTTGCATTTCCCTACCGTCAAAATCCAATATTTTGCCCAAATTTCTCTAAAAAATCAGATGCACCCGCTGATAGAGATCACTATAGTGCAAAACCTCCAGTTGTTTATGGAGAAAAATTTGATTACTGGAAAGATGGAATAGAAATATTTTTCCTTGGTTATGATGTGGATCTATGGGATATGGCAGTTGATGGCTACGTTCATCCTATAGGTGCTAGTGGCAACAAGGTGGAAAGAAGAGAGATGACTGATCAACAGATGAAAGACTACCAGAATCATCACAGAGCAAGAAACATCTTGTTAAATGCAATTTCATACACTGACTATGAAAGGATCACAAACAAAGATACAACGAAGTCCATATTTGATTCTCTGAGAATGACTCAGGAAGGAAACACTCAAGTTAAAGAAACTAAGGCAATTTCCTTGATTCAGAAGTATGAAGCCTTCAAGATGGAAGATAATGAAACCGTTGAGAACATGTTCTCAAGGTTTCAAACTCTTGTTGCAGGATTGAAGGTCCTGGACAAAAGGGATATTCTATTACTGATCATGTGAAGAAGATCATCAGAATTCTACCTAAAAGATAAAGACATATGGTAACTGCGTTGAAGTTATCAAAGGATATGAATAACACCTCTCTTGAAGAACTTGTTAGTTCTTTAAGAAGTCATGAGATAGAGCTTGAAGAGGACGTGCCTCAAAGGAAAGTAAAATATGTGGCTCTGAATTCCATGGGAAAGTCTGAGAAGACCAAAGCCTTTCAAGCTGAAGAAGAAGAAGAAGAACACTCCGACAAAGATCAAGCTAATGTGACGTTGATGGCATGCACAGAAGCTACTGCTGAGAAAGTTCAATCAGAACCAGAATTTGAGTTAGACTCTAAAGATGTATTTGCTGAACTCTATCGCTCTAAACTTAACTCCAGTTCCAAAGAAGTTTTGGATAAGTATTATAAGCTTCTAAGAAAATACAAGGATCTGAAAAAGGTTCATGTATCTAAGTCAAGACTCATACTATAAGATTATGGAAGATTTCTCACGTTTAA